ATGCTTTGTTCTGTTTATGTTCTGTTGTGTTGTGGTCAATATGAGTCAGATCTAACTCGACAACACTTAACAAAGAGTTCCTTCCTCTTTCTCTATCTGTCAACCATTGTGGATTGTGTGATGACCTACAGGCCAAAGGAGTACACCACAGGAGGAGACTGGATCTCTGATGACCATGGAACCACCAAGTATCTGGGAGCTGCCTACCTTTGTTGTTATTGTTGTGTACCATTGAGTTGGAACCAACCCATAGCTGACCCTCCAGTGTGTTTTCAGAGAAAGTTAATCACACAGGAGGATATTGCCCATCCTTCTCTCTCGGAGCAGGTGGAGAATTCAAACTGCTCACCTTCAGGGTTGCAGCACAGCTTCTTGCCACTAGGCCACCACAGCTCCACTTTAGATTTCTTTTTTATACTTTTTAGACTGCCTACTTTAGATTTCTTTTATATAAGAAGAACAAATGAGAGTAATGTTATTAGCAGTTTAAGAAAAATATATTCATTTTGCTGTAACACATATTGTGAAATATTAGAAGTTTGCTGTAATTTGCTGTTAACATATTATGAAATATGTTTGCTATGGAAAAATATTATGATGACTTTAATGCTTAAGTGTAGAAATAAGAATATTTGTGAAAAAATATACTAACAGTTTAACATATCTAAACAAGCCTTAGAGGCCTTGAGTCCCAATGACCACAGAGGTGCAAACCCTTGATAAGGGAATGAAACTGATAATAACTTGCCTGTAAGGCTACTAGCCTCAGCATATGTGAATCCTGATAAAGGAATGCAACTTTTTATTGCCATTTGCTAAGAGAACGTAACTTGTAAATTTAAGAATAAGAAATATATTGGGAATCTAGTATATGATAGAAATAAGAAATATGTTAGGAATCTACTATGTTAGGTGTGAGGAATAAAAATAAGAAATATGTTAATAACTTGCTAGAAGTAAAAATAAGAAATATGTTAGGAATTTGATGTTGAAAATTATTTTAAGAATATTTATGTAAATATACTGAATAGTTGATATGCCAAATCAAGCCTCTTAGTGGTTCTAGGGCCCCACTGACCACAATAGGTGCGGACCACTGATAAGGAAATATGACTGGTTACTGCCATGTTGCCAAGGAAAAACAACTAGTATTGAACATGATTGGTCAAATCCATATTGTTATTCTACATGTCCCAGCGGGCTCCACTTGCCTTACTATAATGCAAAGTGTGAAACCAGAGTAGATAAAACTCCGGCTGTGCACAGCAAATCTCTCTCTGCACTCACAATGAGCTGAACACTGAAAACCCAAAGGCTCTTTTAAGAGCCAAAGATCTAAATGTTCTTTTCAGAGCCAAGAACTCTGGCTTACACTGATAGACATAAGCTACTGAGACAGTGGAGGATTCTGCCCACACTGATGGACCCTGGCTACATTGAACTGCTGAACTAACTGAGAACCCCCTGACTGCATCAATGACCATGATAGGCAAAAGAAGGAGATGAGTTTGGATCCTGGGGTGAGTAAGTGTTCCCCACTGTTGATGAATCAATATGTTATGATGAATTTATGAATTGCAATGTAGATAAATTGCATTTAACAATTTAATGCTTGCTATGAATTAATGAATTGGTATGTTGTGATTAATTTATGAATTACAAGGTAGACAAATTGCAAATAAATGTTTAATGCTTGCTATAGATTGATGAATCAGTATATTGTGGTGAATTTATGAATTGCAGTGTAGATATATTGCAATTATTGCTATGCATTAATTAATTAATGAATTAATAAATTATAATTGGCTTTTGTAATATGTCTATGAGTAATTAAGTAAGGCTCAAGGCTCATGACAGAGTAATAACCTTTTATGTTGTTGTTAGGTGCTGCTGAGTCAAGTACGACTCATAGAGACCCTAAGAACAGTGGATCTGAACCCCATTCTATCCTGTGCCATCTTCACACTTCCTGACACACTAGAGCCCATTACAGCAATCACTGTATCTATCCACTTGGTTGTGAGTCTTCCTCTCCTTTAACAACCCTCTATCCTTCCAAGCTTTATGTCCCTTTCCAAGGAATAGAAACCTCCTAGCAACATGCCTAAAGTATGTGAGGCAAACCCTCATCATTCTTGCCTCCAAAGAGCATTCCTGCTGCATCCTCTCCAAGACATGCTTAATTGCATTATTTTAGCAGGCCATGGGATGTTTAGTGCTCTTCTCCAATATCACAACTCAAAAGCATCAATTCTTCTTCCATCATCTCTATTCATTGTCCATCTCTCAGATAGCAAATGATTGGAAGAACTATGGTCTGAATCAGACCCATTTTACTCCTCAAACGGACATCATTATTCATTAATAATTTTGAGAGGTCCCTAACTGCAGACTTTCCCAGTGTAATAATCTGATTTCCTGTATGTTGGTACCAAGGGTGTTAATTGTGGATTCAAGATGAAGTTGTTGACAGTTTCAATCTCTTATCCATCCACCATAATGTTGACTAGCAGTCCAGTGCTAAGAATCTTTGTTTTCTTGACAATGAAATGCAATTCACATTTAAGGCTGCATTCCTTATCTTCTGCAACACATGCATCAAGTCTCCCTTACTTTTCAGCAAGCAAGGTCGTGTCATCTGCATTTTTATGTTGTTGAAATCCCTGTTATTTTGAGTTTTATGTAACCAAGAGCTGAGCCCAGTCCTAACTGATATGAGACAACATAGCAGAAGTCTGGCTTTGAAGTAGAACAATTGCAAAGTTTCTTTCTCACCTAGAAGTTGTTAGCCAGGCCAGAACAGCACTAACTCCAGTAGGTATTGTCTTTCCCTGGAGGCTTTTGAAAAGTAAAAAAGTACAGGCTAATATCTTTTCTTTCTTAACCTTTCTCAGACAAAATATAAGCATGTTACTCAGGCTTCCAGCCAACTACTTAAGTGCTTTCGGATGCTTAAGTTAAAATGAACAGCAACAACAAGACATTGCTATGGCGTGGTTTCCAATTAATGGATGTCTTGTGTGTTACAGAGTCCAGCTGGGCTTCATAGGGTTTTCTTGGCTGAGATATTTACAGAGTTACCAGTGACCATCCTTCAGCAATGCCTTGGGAAGATTTAAATCACTGACCCTGGCATTTGTAAACAAGTTGAAACCACTTGTATCTCCAGAGATCCTTTAAATATGTATGTGCATCAATGTGTAAATATGTCTGAGGGAAGACATACAAGGCCTCAGATTTCTCTGGCACCAGGCCCACGATGGGTGAATTAGTGCAGAGGACCAGATTTAGGCAACATATAAAATGAGAACATAAATAATTTCTTGTCCTGCTTTTCTTAAGGCACATAGACTATTTGATCTGTCCTCTGTTTTTCCACTTTTGAGAGAGGTGTGTGTTCATGAAATACAGCATTTACCCTTTAAGTGTATTCTGAGAAAAGCAACAACAGAAGCACATTGATAAAAACAGACTCTCTGCTGAGAGGTCCTGGAGGGAAGTAATTGTTGCTAGTTTCTGCCACATTGGTTCAGACTCATAAGGACCCTCTGGGATCGAGTAGAATTGTCTCATACGGTTTCCCAGGCCAAAGTCCTCAGGGGAGCAGTATGCCGACTGCTGGGTTTGAACCACTGATCTTTTGGTTAGCAATAGAGTGAGTGCTTTACCATTACACAAGCAGGGTTTCTTGAGTGGCGTGGGCTGAGCTGCACTGGGTGGCCCAGACAGGCCTTTGAGGGGGGCAGTGGTTCCTTAGATTCAGTTGATCACTGACATAAAGCTATTTGAGTTCAACATCACCACAATTTTCAAATGAAGCTAGAAATTTAGGGTTTTATGTGAAACTTTCTGGTTTTAAAATATGATAATAAATTAGAAACAAAGATAAACAGATATTGTGGTGCTGAACATTCAGAAAGCTAGTTAGCAGCCATAGTGATGGTTCTGGGCCTGTGTGTGTGTGTGTGTGTGTGTGTGTGAGAGAGAGAGAGAGAGAGAGAGGAGAGGAGTGTGGGTTCGAGAGAGAGAGAGAGAGAGAGAGAGAGAGAGAGAGAGAGAGAGGAGAGAGAGAGAGAGAATATGAATTGTGGACTTTTCTTTTCTCCAATGCACTTATTTTAAAATACATTAAAAAAATGGAGCTCTGGTGGTCTAGTAGTGAGAAGCTGCACTGCAATCTCAAATGCACGTAGCTTGAATTCACCAGCTGCTCCATGGGAGAAGGATGGACAATCTTCTCCTATGCTTTTACTGTCTCTGAGAGCCCATTAGAGGATCAGTTATGAGTTGGTTCTAATTAAACTTGATGGCACACAACAACAATAACAACTACAACATTTTAAAAAAAGAATGAAGCATACATATTGCTTGTATGTATGTGAAATATCCTGGTCAGTAAAAAATCATAATTTAATAACTTGGCAGCATCATGTTAGGGACACTAAATCACTGAGGGAAGAGGCAATGGGTAGGATTGCCACGTAACCCTTCATATGTGCTGAGACATAACCACAATATATGAATGTGTTACCTTTTCAAAGATACTTGTATAAGGCATAACCATTTCCCCATCTTCTCTCACCAAGATTTTGATTCAGTAGAATTGGGAATTGGGTTCGAACATCTGATTTAGAAACAGATGACAAATGAAACCAGACCCTTATGAGTGTGTTTGCCACAGAGGCCTGGTTATGAATTCCTAATAATGGGAATGTTCTTCTTGTTCAGTCTTTCTAGACACCACCCACATTTGTTAGGACATAAGGAGTCACACACTCATTATTAGTAATTGCTTTCACGGTAGAAGAGCAGAGTAGCCTGGACATCTGAGTTTAGGTATATTTCAGGAAAATAGATAATCCTTTCCCCCATCTTATTCTAATACTTTCTTCTGGGATAAAGTGGTTAGTTGTCACTCCAGGATGCTAACCTAAAACCAGATAAAACATTTCCCACATAGAGCTTGTCAGTAATAAGGACAAAGGAAATCAGCACATTACCTGAAGGATTATGGAGATGTGGAAGATGTGGTGGCCCCAAGGCCTCCGGGTGACCAGACCTGCCAGTGAGCAGTTTGTCTTGTAATTTATCAGAAGATAACATTGTCCAAGCGCTGTAGGAGAACAACTGATTGGAATCTCCCCTCCAGGAGTTTTCTAGCAAAGTCTGGCAGCTAGTTCTGTTATTTAGTAAGTCCTGCTCACTTCGACTCTTCTGAGATCTTGGAGCCATATGATGAGGGCCAGAACTCACCCCAGCCTGGGAAGTAGTCCCATAGGAAACTGTCAGGAAGTTATTGCCCAAGGTGATGGGTGGGAGACTCTGTGTTCTGATTGGTGGCAGCCCCTTACGGCCCAAAGGCTTCTTATCTGGCAAGAGATATTTTGAATTCTCTGTGGTCCTCTTCTTAAATTCAACCATAGCCACCTGGTCACTGAGCTGTTCCTGGCAGTTGGTATCCACAAGGCTGTCAAAGGTGGTGATGATGTCATCAACTTCCGAGGTGTCCTCCCTCCTGTAGCGGTCCTTGCTGTGATCCTTCTGATAGGCTCTCTGTTGTTCTTTCTTATTTTTGCAGAAGATTTGGTTGAGCATATTGAACCTGCCCTCCTTCTTTTGGGATCTACTATTCTGGGAAGGAAGGGGTCGGGCAGGCTCTGCTCTGTAGGAAAAACAGCAACAAAGGTATTTATTATGTGAGAACAGGAAGTAGAGACAGCATCACTAACCAAAATAAAACCTTCTATTCCCTCCACTCCACAGTCAACACCTGTAGTGGTAACAGTCAAAAAATCAAAAGATATGTCATGTCACATTGAGGGGGAAAATCTGCTGTCAAAGATGTCTCTAAAGTTCTAAAGACTTTGTCAGTTTAAAGACTACCTGATCCAAGCCATGGTATTTTCAAAAGTTTCCTGTCCATCTGAAAGTTGGACAATAAATAAAGAAGACAGAAGAAGAATTTATGCCTTTGAACTGTGGTCCTGGAGAAGAGTATTGAATATACTATGGACTCACAAAAGAACAAATATAAATCTTCCTTGAAAGAAGTACAACCAGAATGCTTCTCAAGGGCAAGGATGGTGTAACTTTATGTCACTTACTTTGGGTATATTTTTAGGAGGAATCAGTTCTTAGAGAAAGATATTGACCTGCGAAAGGTAGAGCGGGTCAGCAAAAGAGAGGAAAACACTCCATGAGATGAATTGACACAGTAACTGTAACAATGGGTTTGAGCATGACAGAGATGATGAACATGGCATAGGATTGATCAAGGTTCAGATCTGTTGTTCATAAGGTCACTATGGGTTGTAGTTGATGGCACCTTAACAACAATAATAAGAAGGGAGCTCTGGTGAGCTAGAGGTAAGAGTCTACACTGAAATCTGGAAGGCAAGCAGTTTGAATTAACCAGCTGCTCTGTTGGAGAAAGACAATTTCCTCCCTTGCAATTTACTGTCTCTGAAAACCCGCTTAAGGGTCAGCTATGGGTTGGTTCCAACTCAACAGCACAAAACAACTATAACATTCCCTTCTCTGGAGCAGGCTGTCTGAAATAACTCAAAGATAACTCTCAAGCCAAAGGTGAGAGCAGCAACTCTCAATACCAATTGTGATTCTCTCTCAGCCGTTTTTCCTGTCAGGCCATTTAAGCATTTCTCAGATTCCTTTGCTTCCTCAATGGTTCTCCTTTCAGAAGTTAAACTGAGATGATCTGTTTTTGCCAAAGGACAAACTAATGAAAACAGCTTGCATGTTTACTATTTTCCATTCTCAAAGGCTATTTTCAATGCTCTCCACTAAGTAAACTCTGAAGTAAAAAAAAGCAAAAAAACAAAAACAAAAACAAAACAACATGAAGGCCAAAGATGGAGCTCGGCGTCAGCTCTCAGAAGGAGGATGTTGGTTGCAGTGCTGGGGAGTGGGGCTTGTAAGCCTCTTTTGAGAGGATCTTGGCAGAACACTAACAATATTATTAACATTATGCTCTCCAGCATGTGCCTATTTCATAGTGTTGGTATGTTCTTTTGTTTCTGGGGGATGGCAGTTGGTGGTTTTTTTAATACAAAATTTCCTATTAAAATTAGTTAAAAAACAGTATCGAAGGAAAGAAGTTCTGTCTGGGTTCTAGCTAAAAAGAGAGGAAATGAGTATGCCAGCGGTCGGGTGTGGCCAGGACTGAGAAGTGACCAATGCCCACTGGGAGGCAAATTCAACAGGAAAAAGGCCAATAATTGTCTGCCTGGCTCTTCTTATGTGCAGAACGCCACCCCCCACCCCACCCCAGGAGCTATTCTGCTTTTGTTTCGTGGAAAATTCTGTGTAGTTTGTGTTTGATACCACAATTGATTTTTATGTCTCCTGTGGTCTGAGTTAGCCATGAAACATGATCCACGTACACACCCCTAAGAATTGGATTTCAGCATTCCTTTTTAGAGCCAGATACTAATACACTTTGTAATTTGCCAAGTATCAGCTCTTATCTGGATGGCAAATAACAAATGTTTTTCTTCTTCCTACAGGTTGCCTAGTTGGATTTGATATATTTTTTATCTTTATTCTTTCACTTTCCAATGTGGTGGTGGTGGTAGTGTTGTGTACCATAGTCAGAACTGACCCACAGCTGACCCTCCAGTGGATTTTCAGAGTCAGTAAATCACACAAGAAGAGATTGCCCTTTCTTTTCCTGTGGAGCAATTGGTAGATTCGAACTGCTTGCCACTGGAATTGCAGCACAGCTTCTAAGCACAAGGCACCCCATCTTCCAGTATGCTTTTTAAAAGATTTAACACAGCTTGTGGACTACTGCTGTCTTTGCAAGGACCCCAAAGGGTCTCTAATGTTCCTTCAGATTTCTCAGTTACAGAATATGTTCACGTGCTGATTAATGCATCTCAGTAACTTCTCTATTTCTTCTTCATATTCCACACTGCGATTCAGAGCAGAGGTTCTCTAAATATGGCAGTGGGGTGTCTCAAGACTCAAAGTGCCCACGAGGACACAGAACATTTTATAATAACACCAGCATATTATTTTTATTTTTCCCCCTGTGTTTTTTCACCCTAATGATGCAGTAGAGAAGGAGGGCAAAACTGTGGGTAATTTAGCACAAATCAAAGTAGTACAAATTGTTATCTTGTTCTTTACTAATTGCACTTAAAATGCCAATTTAACTCAACAATGTCCTTGGAGAAGCAGTATTTTGAAAATGTTTATTGCCCCCTTGAATAAATAAATATTTAACAAAATAGGAAATGCTCATAAAGCAATTCTGCTATATACTTTAATATAGACAGTGTGCTAGTGCTAATAAAATTCCAACTGGCCAATTTTTCGTAAAAAAAGTAGATTCTTCTTTTTAGTTTATCTTGGGCCATCTTCTAATAGATCCTTCTTCCTAAGGCTGGATGCTCCAATGAAACTTGCCACCATGGATGACTCTGTGGTCCTCCGCCATCATGGCTGACTCAAATGGTCATATTTTCAGTGATATCTTGAATATGCTGGCATGGAAGCTGGCATAGCTTCTATATACTAGAATGTATAAAGTATAAATCTAAGAAAATTGTTGTTATGTAGAGTCACCTCTAACTCATAGTGACCCTATGTAACAAGACCTCTGAACTGGGCCTGTCCTGAGCCAGTCTCACTAATTCCGACACACCAACCCCATTGCCTCAGTTACTGTATCAATCCATCTCATTCAGGGTCTTCCTGTCCAGTATTGTTCCTCCACCCTTCTGAGCATGGTGTCCTTCTCCATCTCATCATGGTTTTTCCTCACCTGCGCTGCCACTCCACAACTCCAAGCATGATGTCCAAGGATGAGTCCCCCTCCTGGCCACATGCCCAAAGTATGTGAGACAGAGCTTCAATATCCTAGACTCCAAAGAGAGACTTGGTTTCACCCTCTCCAAGTCAGACCTTTGTTTTCTTGGCAGTCCATAATATGTTCAAGACTTTTCTTTAGCACCACAACTCAAAGGCATTGATTCTTTTCTGTCCTCCTTAGTCATTCTCCAGCACTGTCTCTGAGGTATAACAAATGATTGAAAAGACCATAGCAACTGAAACTATCAACAAAACTAGGAGTTGGTTCTTTGAAAAGGTCAGTAAAATTGACAAACCATTAGCAAAACTCACAAAAGAAAAGAAGGAGAAGACACAAATAATCCGAATAAGAGATAAATCAGGCAACAGCACAATAGAACCAACTAAAATGAAAAAGCTAACATTAGAATATTATGAAAAACTATACTCAAACAAATATGAAAACCTAGAGGAAATGGACAAATACTTAGAAATGCACAATTTACCTAAACTGACACCAACTGAAATTGAACATCTGAACAAACCCATTACAAAAGAAGAAATTGAAAAGGTAATACAACAACTTCCAACCAAAAAAAGCCCTGGACCAGATGGTTTTACAAGTGAATTTTATCAAACATTCAGAGAAGAATTGTTACTAATTCTACTTAAACTATTTCAGAAAATAGAAAAAGAGGGAATTCTTCCAGACTCATTCTATGAAGCAAACATATCCTTGATACCAAAACCAGGAAATGACACCACCAAAATAGAAAATTATAGGCCAGTATCTCTTATGAACATAGATACAAAAATCCTGAATAAAATACTGCCCAGTAGCATCCAATGATACATCAAAGAAATAATCCCTCATGACCAAGTGGGATTCCTAACAGGTATGCAAGGATGGTTCAACATAAGAAAAACAATTAATGTAATTCATCACATCAACAAAGCAAAGATCAAAAATCGCATGATCCTATCAATTGATGCAGAAAAGGCCTTTGACAAAATCCAGCACATTTCCTGATTAAAACACTCAACAAAATAGAGGGGAATTTCTTCAACTTAGTAAAAAGTATTTATGCAAACCCAAGAGCCAACATTGTTCTCAATGGAGAGAGCTTAAAAGCATTCCCTTTAAGGACAGGAACTAGGCAAGGATGCCCACTATCACCTCTCTTATTTAATATTGTATTGGATGTCTTCGTGAGAACAATAAGACAAGAGAAGAAAATAAGAGGTATCCAAATTGGCAAAGAGGAAGTAAAATTCTCTCTCTATGCAGATGATATTATAGTATACTTAGAAAACCCTAAAGACTTAGTAAGAAAACTATTGGACATAGTTGACCAATTCATCAAAGTAGCAGGACACAAGATCAACATACAAAAATCAGTTGGAATTCTCTACAGTGACAAGAGAATTCAGAGCTGGACCTAAGATAAACAATACCCTTCACAAAAGCTAATTACAAGATTAAATACTTGGGAGTAAATCCAACCAGAAACACAAAGGATCTATTCAAAGAAAATTACAAAAAATTACTACAAGAAACAAAAAGAGACCTGGAGAAGTGGAAGAATATCCTTTGCTCATGGATAGGACCTCCCTGATCAGAACAAGCTTGGAAGGAGGAGTGGCATCCACTTCCGTAATAGCTTGCCTCTGAAAACCCTATGAACCTGGGGAGAGGATGAAAGACACCCAAGCATTGAGGGCTCTCCTTCCTAGGGTTGCTATGAGTTGCCTACGACTCGAAGGCATGTAACAACAATAACAACACCATCGATAGGAAGATTCAATATTGTGAAAATGGCAATACTACTAAAGGCAATTTACACGTTCAAT